TATTAAATCCTGAGAAACAAAATGTGCTCAGAAGGTTTTTTTTTCACAGCTTTTAGACTGGAAACATAAAAACATCTAACAGCTGATTTAAACTTACCTGAAAAGACAGTTTTCGCTCATCTGGATAATTAATGAAGCTTGTGCGTTTAAACATGAGGGACTTCATCAGATCAGTGACCAGCATGACAAACACCCAACCCTTCGAGAATGAAACTAATTAGCTCTGAAGTCTTAAATGACTTGAACTCAATTAAAACCCGTATCATCCCACATGATTACGTTCCCTTTCATTTTTCCTAGAGAAAAGCTGTTTATTGCCAATGTCAAAATCACAACAGGACAAATGATGCAGGTTGATCAAATCTTCTGAAGGCTAATAAATAGAAAACGTCCCTTCGGGTTTTTTAGCTGAAGACCTTTTTAATTGTTCTAGCATCTTCATTTGCTCAGATGTTTTATCTCAAATCCAAATTGAATTGAACATTTTTTAAAGCATAAATGAGGACATGATGTTCTCTGGACATCCTCAAGCCACGTATAGAGCTCAGGAGATGATAGAGCTCTGACAGGACAACGATCAGCTGACATTTACACTGTTTATACTCCGTTGTTGGTTTCCTGTGAGCGGTTTCAGAGGAGGAGCAGGAAAGGGTAGAAGTTATTGCCATTGATCCTACAGAGCAGGACTCCTCTGTTGGGAGTCTTTTTTTTCTGTTGCATCCTCATTGATTCTCCACCTTGACACGAATAACTGGCCTTTGGTCGCCCACCGACGGCTTCATTGGCTCCTTCTGTCCAGAGCCGAGCCGAGGTCGTAGCTTCTGGCACTCAGATCAGGACCAACCAGCGTGAAAAACAGCTCTGCTTTTAAAGTTGCAAGGGCAAATTAGAAAAAATAAATAAATGAAATAAATTAATAAAGTGGTTCGCTGGCATTGTCTAAACTCCTCCACCAATAAGACGTTTTGAACTGAAAGCAACTATTGGACCATCCGGTTGTTGGTCTGGCCAAACCGCCGTGCTTCCCTGGGTCCTCCACTCATCACACACTCGCGTGCTCAGCACCAGAACACCACTGGTGTGAGAGGTTCTCCTCTCAATAACATCAGAGAAGGAGAAACAGCCGGCTGCTACCTCTTCAGCTTTAGGACAAACTACCAGAGTCCCAAAAGGAAAAACACCATTTGAAGTCCCGGACAACACAAGGAGCTTGGACATAGGGCTGAAACGAATCATCGAATAGTTTGATTCATTAAATTCTTTGAATCATTTTCTTGAGTTTTTAAATGTGCGCATCATTTTGTCCATGTACAGGTCCCCAACTTCCTATTTGACATACCCCTGTATATTCCACATCCTTTTTGGGATTTTAACATGTAGTTTAACTCTTCCTTTCTCCCAAATCTGCGTCTTCTCATAATCACATGTGATCGCGAGCCATATTTACAAACGTTTCTCTTTGAACAGCATTTAGATGGGATTATTGCCTTCCTGTACATAATACAATAGGTACGCTACCATTACACTGTTACCAGTAGAAATTAAATGTTATTAGCATTTCCAGTAGTTTCCTACTGAACATGTTAATGAAATACATTTAATTCCACTGATCATATGTGGATATATTTAGATATGTTATTTAGAGAAGGATACCATACCAAACCATACCGACTTTATTTCTATAGCGCAATTTAAGACACAGCGTGACAGCTGACCAAAGTGCTGAACAGGCAGGATCAATTTAAAACAAAAAAGAAAAACAATAAAAAGATAAAACACAATAATAAAAACTATAAAATCATAATACGATAACATAAATCACCGTTTAAAAGCCAAGTCATAAAAGTATGTTTTTAAACGAGATTTAAAAACATGCAGAGAGGATGCCAGCCTAACTGTAATGGGCAGTGAGTTCCAGAGCATGGGGGCAGCATGGAAAAACGCACATTCACCTCGTGAGTTGTAGGCCATCCGGGGAATGCAAAGCAATAGACGGTCAGCTGACCTCAACATACGAGTAGGCACATAGGGCGTCAGCAGGTCGGACAGATAAGGAGGAGCTAGGTCGTGTAGGGCTTTAAAAACATACATCAAGATCTTAAAACGCACACAAAATGTGATGGGGAGCCAGTGAAGATGTTCCAGGACTGGTGTAATATGGCTATGTCGACTTGTGTTTGTTAAAAACCTAGCAGCGGCATTTTGGACAACCTGCAAACGGTTCAAGGCAGAGACAGGAGTTCCAACTAATAATGCATTAGCATAGTCCAAGCGAGAGGTGACGAAAGCGTGGACGACTGATTCCAAGTGCTTCCTCTTTAAGATCGGTCTTAAACGAGATAAGCGGCGCAACTGAAAACAACGAGAATGAGTGATATTAATACAATCCTAAAATGTTAATGAAGCCTTTGCAAGAGGATTCAGGTAGATGGGAGCCGTACCATCTCGGACTTTGTATGCTAGTGTTAGCTATTTGAATTTGATGCGTGCTGCTAGCGGTAGCCAGTGTAGCTCAATGAACAGAGGGGTGATGTGTGCTCTTTTTGGCTGGTTGAAGACCAGACGCGCCGCTGCATTCTGGACCATTTCAAGAGATCTCACAGTACAGGCTGGAAGACCAGTTAGAAGGGTGTTGCAGTAATCGAGGCGGGAGATGACAGTAGATTGCACCAGGAGCTGGGTGGCATGTTGTGTTAGGTATGGTCTGATCTTTCGTATGTTATACAGCGCAAAGCGGCATGAATGAGCAACAGAGGCAACATGATCTTTAAAGGTCAGGTGTTCATCAATCACAACACCCAGATTTCGAACTGCCTTTGAAGGAGCCAGAGATAGGAAGTCATTTTGGATTGAGATATTGTGCTGTATGGATGGTTTTGCTGGGATGACAAGTAGTTCAGTTTTAGAGAGGTTGAGTTGGAGATGGTGGGATTTCATCCATTTTGATATGTCAGAGAGACAGTTTGATATTCGTGCAGAGACAGTTTGGTCATCCGGTGGAAATGACAGATAGAGCTGGGTGTCGTCTGCATAGCAGTGGTAGGAGAAGCCATGTGATCGAATGATCTCACCCAGTGAGGTGGTGTAAGTGGCAAAGAGAAGAGGTCCTAGTACAGAGCCCTGGGGGACTCCTGTGGCAAGATGGTGCATGGTAGAGGATTGTCCAAGCCAAGATACACTGAATGGTCGTCCTGTGAGGTACGATTCAAACCCTTTAGTCCTTTATAATGTTGTTTTCTTTATTTTCATATTTTTAGCAGCAGAATACAGTCTCATTTCACTCGAAGCCATGACAAGTAGAAAAGCTGATTAAATCTGTTTTCTGAAGTTTTCCTCTTTCAGAAATTATATATAATTTGTCAGAAATCTGTAAAAGTGATTATCTTATCATGTACTGTGATATAATATAAGCAATACGTCTTTTTTTTGCTAACCACGCCCCCTGCCCAGCAGAGCTCCGTGCAATAGGAAACTGAGCGCCTACCAGAAACAACCAATAGCATTAGAGTGCCGCTTAGACGCTTCAAATTTAAGGAATACCTCGGCTAATGCAGAGTTGATTAACTTTTCACGGATAAGAAAGTCTCTAAAATATAAATATATGAAAACACAACATGACATGAGAATAATACTCGTAAAACAACGTGTTTTAGCGGTTTGTCGCTACAGAAGCATATTTATAAAACTGAAACATGAAGTTGCCATCTTAAAAAAACAGAGGAACAGCGTTTTTGTGTGATACGCTTGTCAGCCACTAGATGGTGCCATCGGATAAGAGAAATACTCCGGAAGGAAGCTTTAATGGACAGAGGATTCGATAAAATATTCAAATACTAAAATATTCAATAGCTGCAGCCCTAGAAAACATCTACTGGTGTTAACCACTATCTTGTTTCCTCTGGCAACGTGGGTGTCCAGTTCCAGCGGAAGCGGCTCAGGGAATACCCGGAGAAGGGATGAGTGTTCCATGACCGTGTTTGCGTTCCGAACCTCTCTTGTTCTGTAGATTTGTTACAGCAGCTTTAATTATGTTAACGTGCTTTCTTACATTCCCTGCTCCTCACCAGCAGGATGTGCAGGAGTCGACTTCATCCACACACATTCATCTGGAGGAACTCCTCGCCTTCCACCTCCTCAAAGTGAATTTAAAGGTTTTCAGAGTCTTCCATCACAGCAGCAGGAAGTGGAGAGGGAATGTGGGGTGCATAAATTAGCATATATTAAAAACTAGAAACTAATGAGCTCAAAGGAACCCAAAGAACCCCTAGATACAGTACGTCGTTGTCCAAGAAGTAGCTTCATAAATGTGTTAATGTAAAACTTACAACTACGTGTGGACAAACATTTACATGAATGAAAAAATGCACATTTAAATGTAAGATTGGCTGCTGCTTTAGTGAACAAATGACATTTTGTTTCTTTTATTTGTTCTATTATTAAAATGTAAATTTACAATATAAATATTAAGTTTTAAAAAGCAGTAACTGAGAAAAGAATGAAAAGAAATAAAAATGAAAACTACAGGAAATGATGCACCTGGTGTTTATCTCCAGCAGTCTCTGGGCAAACAGGCGGGTACGCCCTGGCCAGGTTTCCAGTCCATCACAGGGAAACACAAAGACACAAACAATTAGAGAACAGTGAATCTGACAGTCATATTTTTGGCCTGTGGGGGAAGTGGGAGTTCCTGGAGGGAACCCACGCATGGACAGGGAGAACATGCAAACTCCATGCAGAGAGACCCGCAGGCCGGGATGTGAACCTGACCTTCTTGCTGCAAGGTAACAGCACTAACCACTGCACCACTGTGCAGCTCCAGGAAACAAATACTTTACATTAAAAAAATTGCTGAAAAAACGTGATAAAAATTATAAATATCTACATTGATGATGAATTTGTTTTACTTTGTATTATTATTATTATTATTATTATTATTATTATTATTATGTGGTTCTCAATTGGACTTTTCTCTGTACTAAAGGAAAATGTTCATCCTAGATGAGGATTACAAAAATCAATTTCAGGAGCTGGGAACAGAATTTGCATCGTGGCAAAGAGAAATCTGTGCGTGTTGTGTTTTCCCCCAAAGGCCACTGCTGCTCTTTTGTATAAAAACTCATACAGGAGAAGATTTCATTAAGGACTCTAAAGAACTTCTTCTACCTGTGGTGAAACTGGAAACGAGAGGCATTCAGTTCTTACATTTACAAAATGAAATGTTAGTATCTTCCCCAAATGTGCTGCTCTGCTTATAAAAGGAAAGAAAAATGCACGAGGGAAACATTGTAATTAAGAGTTGTCCTTGAAAGCTTATAAGTGCACTGCCTGTCTGCAAAATCACAGCCATGTATGAATAAAGGTTATACTGGAAGTAGTGCTGATTATGTTAATATTAAAATTATTGTAAAATAAATTGCTTTAATTAGTTTAACTGAGGTTTTAGCAGCAACTAATTTCCAATTTAATACGGCTGAATACACTTCCCAATGAAAAATGTGACTCAGCTCTTTCTCTTTTTAACGCTGACTGGTTTTTTGTTGTTTTAATTCTCTTAACATTTTTTAATCACAATTGTCTATTTTTGCTCATTTTGAATACATTTATAAACATTTTCTAAATGTTTTTTATATTTTTACATTTTTTGTTTTTGTGAAGCGCCTCTCAGTTGCCTTTCAGTATCACTGCCTACCGATAGGTGGCGGTGTCGCGTTTTTTTGCGTCGCTTTGACCTCTAATCAACCGAAGCAGTTAGCTTAGCACGTTCCTTAGTCACGATGACATTGAAAGCTGAAACTCACCAAAGTCCTGTTACTTGGTCCAACTTCAAGTAAGATAAAACGCAAAAACGAACGAAATTATCACCATAATTGATTAGTTTATTTTATTATTGTAAAATAAACGTGTGTTTATGACGGTGCTAACTGGCTAGTCTATAAGCTAGCTGTGGAAATTTGGGGTTTAACCACGATTTTTCAAGTCGCTAAAAATGTCTGCCTGACTTTTAGGTTTATGTTATATTTTACTTTATATTTCTGTGTAAATAAAACGTACTGCATTGGATTCACTCATCTGTGGAACAGCATTCAGTTAAAAGAACAACCAATGAGCAGGCTAGTCGTTGGAGTAATTTTAACTAACCCCATTATCGTGAAAGCAGGTAAATTACATCGTTATGTGGCTTTCAGGACAATGTGGAAGCCAGTACTCATCAACAAGTGTGTTTTCTGTTTGTGTTGTAGGTAATAAAACCTGACAGCTGAATTAAATCTGGATCCATCGCCTGAATCCCTCTCATGTAAGGACATTTGTCTATTCTAATTGTGATTCTGTCCTGTTGCATCTTCACTGCATTTTGTTCTACTTCTATTAATGTTTAGAGTTCATCAAATGTTTGAATATGTTCTTCATTAGCTGAAAGGGAAAAACACACCTGTCTGTCAGATTAAAAAACAAAAATCTCAAGGGCGTTTTGGGCGGATTGTTTTTAAAACTTGTGGGGATGTCAAACATGACTGAGTGTGGCCTGTAGACTGGTGGGGACAATTGTTTTTAATTATTTATTAATCACTATTTGATGTTTTAATTTCAATACGCACTGCCGTGTATTGACAGGTGTTTGAAATCTGAGCTTTGTCCAATAATTATAAGTTGAAATCTCAGGATCGAACCTACGTGCCACAGATTACAAGACAAGTACCTGACCTATAGAGAGCCTAAGTCCATCAACTTCCAGACCAATTTTCTAATTCTGCTTGCTATGTGCCATGGAATTCACATATGATGTCCATGAATTTTCAAAACGCATTTTGATACCAAGAAAGTGCTTATTTTTGAACAGGGGAACATTATTTTAGGTTTTGTGTGAAAATAAGTCCAGGACTACAAATGCACTTCACAAACTTGAGACGTCATCAAACCAGATGTGGAGAAAAATTGTGGGAAATGGCTGTAAGTTTAGCGAACTTGAAATCCTTCAGGGGGAAAGAACCACCATAAATCTGGCCATGTAGTAAGTAGCAGCTACATCATGTGATGTCAAATACGCAACATGTCAATTCTGGCAGGAAGTCAAACCAAAACAGAAGAGACAGGCTGGTAAATTTAAAATGTTTTAAAAAAATTCAAAATGGGGTCAGCAGAAGCACTCGCCAAAAATTCTGGCCTGATGTGAACAGAGGAGCAGCGGGCAGTGTGCAAAATTTGTGAGCGATCCACTTTGCGGTGCTTCGCAGCTGATGTGACCCTGGCATAGGGCAAAGCTGATTAGAAAATAGCTCTTTTTGCCCCATTGAATTGCATTAATTTTTTCCTTCTTCTGGGGACCGGAAAAGGAGGAGACTTAGGCTCCTCTGTAGGGAGCCTAAAGGTGTCCGGACTCGCAAACCAGCTCCGATGCAAGGCTGTAGTCATGCTGGTCACAGGTGTATTACTTAGGGTGACCACAGAAACACCGCAGCTCTTTTAGTTGACGCTTCACTTTTGAGTCGCTCAATGGCATTTTTCTTGATAATAGTTTGCTGGTCGAATGGGGAGAATTCTATGCATTTACCATAACACCGCTTGGTCTAAGATGGGTTGAAATAAAATGCGTTGGTGTGGCTGCTGTCTAACAAAACTAGAGTTACATATCCGGAGCTTCATGTCAACACAGCGCCGGTAGCCAGTCGACGCGCCCGGCAACAACAGCGGACTCTGGGATCTTTTGCGGCCGTGGACCAGTGAAGCCCGATATCCTCGGTGACCTAGTTATGATTTCGTTACTAAGCAGGCCACAGGTGTCTTCACTTTGGAGTTTTTCTTTCTAAAATTGCCCTGAAAAACTTTGTTAGCTTCAGGTTAGCATCTAGCAAATGTAGCTGATTTCCGACCATGGAGCATGAGCTAATGTAAAAGGCCACAGCGCCCGGCTACGATTGCGGCGGTCTGAGGCTCCGCTAGTAATTTAAAAATCCCGGTCCATATTAGATCTTCACAGGCGACCAGCGTGAATACAGCCTCACACGAAAACCAGTCAGCCGAACGCGTGGTATCCTGGTGCTTGATGCCCTTCTCTGCTTCTTGGGTTATCAGAGTTAGCTAGAAACTACATTGGTTCATTTGTTCCAACTCTGTTCCAAACGTAACAGCCCCACTCTCAGATCCCGGTTTTGGATTGTCTGGGCGTGCCAAGACGTGTGACAGGTCAAGAAATCAGTGGTGGGAACCTCCCACTTTTGGCCTTAACTCACCTCCCGTGGAGCACTGGGCGGGCTATGTTTGTCCTGTTTATATGCCGATAGTGGGGACATGCCCTCAGCGTCCCCAGCTTAAATGACAGCTATGAAAATTGTATTCTTTACAAATTAAATTTAAAGCAAGCTAAAATTGGACAAACCACAATATTACCATCCCAGTAGAAATCATGTTAAACTCAAGTTAAAAGCCAATGTATAAAGTGATTCTTCAAACAGGAAGTAAACACACTATAGGTGGATTATCGAGGGTCTGGTTCTTCTGGACTATGCTGGACTAACTGTAAACAATGGAGAGGTGACTGATCAGAACCACAGCTGAGGTGGTCTAATCTAGAGGACAGCTTAGCCAGAGGCAGATTTAGCTTTGGTGATTGTACGTTACTGATAAAAATAACTTTTCATGTTTACTCTGGACCTTTTTCTTCTCTAATGTAAAATGATCTTGAAGCTCTCCAAAACTTTTGACAGTAAAGAAGCAGGAGGGCCACGACTATCAAATACTCTGTAAAAGCATGTTTGTTTCATAGTACGAACTTTTCTCCATTTAGTTTGAGAAAATTCAATGTCAACTGGTCTTTGACATGTTGGAGGAAGTTAAACAGGCTGCAGTGGATCAATAGTTGACCAGGGGTTCATGCATATGGAAATAGACTTGAACATTATAGGACTTAGTGAGTGGGAGGAACTCATGATTTAAACAGAACTGCACCAAAATCACTAAGGCAAAAAATGACAACAATACAAACTTAACATTAATACCAGTGTCTTTTAATCCCTGAAGTAATCCCTGAAGGAGTTTGGATGAAAGTATGAATCAGCATATCATGACGTGGCTCCGGGGCTTGCCTCAAGGATTGCTGGAACTTCTTTTGCAGCAGTCACTGCAACTCAGAGCTGGCAGAAAAGGGTTGTTTACAGGGGTGGGGGGTCAGACAGTAGAGAGAGAGACTGGCCACAAAATATGAGATGAGGATGACAAAACACAGTGATGGCTTCATATTTCCTCCATGGTGGTAACGAAATGCTAAAATTGTCGGTAATGATGTCGGGCAAGCCGAGTCTGAGCTTTAAGCCTGTTGGGTCATTTTGGTTATTGGGTTTGTTGAGACTACTGCTCTGCTGCAGGTTTTGTGTGTGTGTGTGTGTGTGTGTGTGTGTGTGTGTGTGTGTGTGTGTGTGTGTGTGTGTGTGTGTGTGTGTGTGTGTGTGTGTGTGTAAGATAATAAAAGTCAAAATGTCCCCAAAGGTCATGCAGTGGGAGGGTTAGTTAGCTGGTTAGTCATGGAGATTTATCAGCTATCAGTAAATCCTAATTAAGCCCACATCAAACTGCTGGTGTTATTGTTATTATTATTAGCAAATATAAAATAAACCTCCAACGTGTTCATCAGAAGTGTAGTTCTTTTGAGTTTTAGTATTTTCAGCAGCAGAGCTTCGTGCTCCATCATGGTTCTGAAATGAGACTAGTGGGTTCAGACCAGGCCAAACCTGTCATTTCATTTCATGTTTTTTAAACATTATTATTATTTAATAATAACTGATTTAGTTTTTAAAACTCACTTGTTTAGGTTGTTAATTTAAAAACAATCACATAACTATAATTAAACAACCTGTTAAAAAGCTCTAGAATGCAGGGAATGACATCTGTTCACTAAAAATTTGCTGTGGGGGACCCACAGATCTACACCCCCATCACCCCATGTCCACTCAGTCTCCTTCCTGAGAAGAGGACAAGGCTGGGACACACGTCCCAGCCTTGTCCTCTTCTCAGGAGGAGCAGAAACTTGTTAGCAGAAGGTAAACAAAGGCTTTATTGTGTTGCTGTGTTAAAATAAGAATCCCAACTTGAGACGTAATCAGGTGTGTCTGAGCAGGGACACGTAACGAAAATCATCAACCGACTCATCAGGGTTTTGTTTGATTGCAGACACCTGAGTTAGTTTTGGAACTTTCTTAAAGTTCTGTTTTACATTTGCTGCTAAAATGTCAAACTGGATCTTTAAATCTCCAATTAGGTCTCCTGTTGCTTGATCTTTATCATACAGAGCCACAGCTCCATTGGGGCGTCTACCCGTAAATTGGCCCCGAACCCTATGCCCATGCTTTTGAAGGCTAGCTTGAGCTAGCTGACCTAGTTCATGCCCGTTTAAACGATAGGAGTGAATCACTTCCAGCATGTCTAAGACCCACTTATCTGGATCATCAGTGTGAGGTGTAATCTGTTCAGCAACTTCCCTCGCTTCTAGGGTTGTCACGATACTAAAATTTCAAACTCGATTCGATACTTGAAAAAATACTCGGTACTCGATTTCGATACTTTTTAAAAACACCCATTTATCGAACAAGTTTATTCAAAAAATAACATTCCTCAATTCATATTACAAAAATTAAATGTTAAGAATTAAGTGTATTAAGTGCTTAAACCTTTCAAGTATCAGCATTTTTTAAAACGTGCATACAAAAACTGGTGAAAGTTAACACTTAAAATCATGAATTGTCTCACTATATATACACTGTTTGCAGAGTGATGTTTTGCTGCTTAAACTCTGTTTAAGGTGCATTTTTGTCATAAGATGTAATGCCATATGTTTTGTTCTGTACTTTTGAACAACTCTGTTGGTCAATAAAGGGAGAAAACGAATTTCTCCACAGTAGGACTGTCAGCTCCGCAAGGGACAGACACGCACGGACTGACGGAAGCGTTTTGCTCTTTTACTTCTCCGTCTCCTGGAGAGTGTTGCAAAGCAATTGCCCTGCAGGACAACAGAGGGCGTAGCGCTGTTCTGTGGTATCCTGTCATCCATCGGTCCAAGATCGTGTGTTTATATTGTGTTTTTTGTGTATATAAGAGACTTTTAACAGGGACATATTTGTCTCTCATTCTCCCACCCCTTCATGCGCTTCCCACCTCTAAACCCACGTTTCCTGTCATTTCCGTCCTCAAATAAAATGCTTGCTGCGCATCTTTTCACTCCTCCAGTCACGGGGGAATTAAACGTTCATATTTTTAGAGTTTTTTCACGAGGTATTCTTTAAGCTTCTCCGTGTCTGCCGCTAATTA